AGAAAAAAAAAAAAGAAAAAAGAAAGAAAGAAGTTGAAACGGAGGAAGACGAGGAGGCAGAAGATGTAGAGGAAGAAAGAAGAAGGGGAAGGAGAAGGAGAAGTGATGGTGGTGGTTGGTGGTGGAGGAGGGAGGGGAGAGGAGGAGGAGAAGGAGAAGAAGAAGAAGTTAGGCCCCCTGAAACCTGTCCCCCCCAAAGCCCTCCCTTCTCAGCTCAAGACCCCCTTGGTCTGCAGAGGGAAGTAGGAGCCAAGTGATTAGCGCAATTCCGCCCCTCCTCTCCACTCAGGGATGAACGGTTTGGAGAGCAACTTCCTGTGCATGATTCAACAAGAGTTCCAGTGTTGACTGGCTGCCTACCATGTGCCAGGGACAGTTCTAGGCACTGAGAATACAGCAACTGAATGAGCCATTAAAACCCCTTGCCCTGGAGAGACCAAGATGGCGGCATAGGTAAACACCAGAGATTGCTGCTGCAAACAACCACTTCAAAAATACAACTAAAAGACGGAACGGACATCACCCAGAACCACAGGAAGGCTGGCTGAGGAGAGACTCTTCAACTAGAAGGAAAGAGAACAGCATACCGAGGCTCAGAGGAGGCGCAGTGTGGAAAATACAAAGGAGCGGAGGTGCGCGCGCAAAGCGGGCTGGTGGCTGAGGGCGCGGTTGTCGTTTTCAATCAGGAGGGAGTCTCAGACTCTGAACTCCAGATCCGGGTGAGTCTCTAGGGACTCAGACTCAAACGGGAGAGGCGGGATTGTCTGGCATCAGTTGGAACGTGAGGGCAGCTTTCTCTCCGAGGTTTGCAGCGGTTGCTGGGGTTCTGAGAAGCAGAGCCTCTGGGAACGGGACTGAGAGCAGCCATAACTGCTCCCTCCACCCGCCCTGTTGATCCCTTGCAACCCGCCCCGCCCAAGCCCTGCGCAGAGCCATTTGCCGGATAGCCTCAGGCAAAGGCTAGATTAGCACCTCTCCAGAGGACAGAAGTTTTCCCACTGCAGATACAGATGACTCTCACAGCCAGTCGGCCTGGTGGTCAAATCCCTCTAGTATTAACTACAACAATCAAGGCTTAACTAGAACAAGACTGCGCACAAAGACCACAAGGGGGTGCACCAAGAAAGCATAAAAAATGCGGAGACAAAAAAACATGACAGAAATGGAGGATATAGAGCTAAAAAACGCAATTTTGAGGGCTTGCAACAATGTGCTAGAAGCTGCCAATAAACTTGATGAGAGCCTCACGAAATCTAATGAGACCCTCGATGCTGTGATAAAGAACCAACTAGAAATTAAGCACACACTGACTGAAATAAAGAATATTATACAGACACCCAATAGCAGACCAGAGGAGCGCAAGAATCAAGTCAAAGATTTGAAATGCGAAGAAGCAAAAAACACCCAACCGGAAAAGCAAAATGAAAAAAGAATCCGAAAATACGAAGATAGTGTAAAGAGCCTCTGGGACAGCTTCAAGCGTACAAACATCAGAATTATAGGGGTGCCAGAAGATGAGAGACAGCAAGATATTGAAAACCTATTTGAAGAAATAATGGCAGAAAACTTCCCCCACCTGGTGAAAGAAATGGACTTACAGGTCCAAGAAGCGCAGAGAACCCCAAACAAAAGGAATCCAAAGAGGACCACACCAAGACACATCATAATTAAAATGCCAAGAGCAAAAGACAAAGAGAGAATCTTAAAAGCAGCAAGAGAAAGAGACTCAATTACCTACAAGGGAATACCCATACGACTGTCAGCTGATTTCTCAACAGAAACTTTGCAGGCCAGAAGGGAATGGCAAGAAATATTCAAAGTGATGAATACCAAGAACCTACAACCAAGATTACTTTATCCAGCAAAGCTATCATTCAGAATTGAAGGTCAGATAAAGAGCTTCACAGATAAGGAAAAGCTAAAGGAGTTCATCACCACTA